GGCATGCTACTATGACCAGCCTGAAGGAAAAAGAAATATTGCAGAAAAAAAAGGTAATTTTGATGAATATCACTCTCCCTTCCAGAATCTTGAAATAGAGGATAAATGTTGTCAGGGAAAAATAAACCAAACTGTCTTCTCTGCTCAGGTCTGTGAGTAACGTGTTCTTCTGGGCTGGTTTCTCACTGCAACAGAGCTCTGTGCTGAAGACACAGCCAAGAAAAAGCTTTATGAGATGCCATGTACTACGAAAGCACGAAGTTATACAACCTGGGTGAGAAAATGGTGATTTAAGAAGAAAAATATGTCACAAAATCTATAGCATGCAGGTAAGTAGGTTTTTTCGTTTGGGGATGGGTTTGGGGTTTATTTTGTTTTGGGTTTTGTTTAGTTTTCATTACTAAGTCCTCCCTTTTTCCTTGTGGGCCCTGGACTGATCTGAGATTTACTCTGGTTACTAGTGTTAGGTTATGGGATAAACATGATGTTGCGTGCCCACAGAGAAGCAATGCGGAGATAGCGGGGGGGGAGCCCAAATAATATTCTCTCCTGGCTATTTCCCAGGCCCATTGCAGGAACCATCAGAGGCACAAAGGCACAAAGGCACCCAAATTACAGGCTCAGAGGAGGGGACACCGTGGCTGGACTCCTCTGGGGCTGTCTCAGGAGACCCCCAGCCCCATGAGCCATCAGGACGAGGGAGCTGGGCCAGCTCTCCTGAGAACTATTGGCAGTGATGTCCCTGCTTTTTGGGGATGTCCAAGGCCAGCTCCTGGGGTCTGCACCACAACTGCACTGGTGCTGTGTCACATCCAGGTGCCAGCAACTGGGAAGACTGGGATCCAGGGGCAGCTACTGGGCAGACTGTGTGTCTGAAGCCATGTGGGAGGAAAATGTAGGAAGTAATGCTGCAGCAATTAGCAACGGTCCAGCAAATCTGAGTGCCAGGTCTGACAGAAGTGGTAGGTGACTTTGCTTTCAAACAAGCACTGATTTCACTCATTCGTGCTCTCCTTCATGGCCATGTGCACACCAGCACCAAGGTGCATGGCCAAATGGCCTGTCCAGCAGTCGGCATCTGTCCAGATGGCTTGTCTGGGACATGGGGGGACAAGGAAGACCGGCCGGGCCACAGTTAGGTGGTTGATCCTGTGCTGGTTTTGACTGTGCATTTCTGCACCCTTTAGGACCCAAGAGTGATGTGAGCTCAGACACCTCAGTTAATCTCAGGACCCTGGAGTGTGAACGTTGCCAATCTCTTGCAGTAGCACCGCAGCCCTAAAGTGGGGGTGGGAGGGTGCGCTCGTTAGATTTGTTCTCATTTTTAATAATGGGCGACATAGAATCACAGAATTGTTTAGGTTGGAAAAGACATTTAAGATCATCAAGTCCAACCGTTAACCTAACCCTGCCATGCCACCACTAAACCATGTCACTAAGCACCTCGTCTGCCCAGCTTTTAAGTACCTCCAGGGATGGGGACTCGACCACTTCCTTGGGCAGCTCATTCCAATGCTTGACGCAGCCCTTTTGGTGAAGAAATTGTTCCTAATGTCCAACCTAAACCTGCCCTGGTGCAACTTGAGGTCATTTCCCTTCATCCTATCGCCCATTACCTGGGAGAAGAGACCAACGCCCACCTCGCTACACCCTCCTTTCAGGAGCAGTTTCTCTTGTTTGGAGATGGAGAAACACCTTAATATAACATTTTATTTTTTCTTTATTTTGGTACTGACACTTCTGCTCAGTTTGAGGTCCTTTCTTGCTTCCAATTTCTGCCATGGCAGCCGACCTACAAAGCAAGCCCCCTTGGTCCAGGGGCTGGGTCCCACATCTTGGATAACTTTTCTTTTTCAGTGAATTGCTCAGCACTTGATTGTCTCAGATCCTACCAGTGGATTTGAAAGCAGAGCCCCCAGTCTTCTGGGCCTGCTGGGCTTGGCTGATCCTCAAGCACTCTGTATTTTGGCAGGTGGATCCAACTGCTGCTCAAATAGAAAGCAGGAATTGATAATGAGAATCACATCCATTCACACCAGAGCTCTCCTCAGCCCTCACCACTGTTCAAAATAATCCCTTGCATCCAACTACTTTCTGCCTCCTATGACCGCAATCGCAGAAATCCTGCTGTACACCTTCCCCCTCTTGCATCATCCAGCAATAAATGCTGGTATCTGCTCCCCCGCAGCATTCTCCACCAGTTGGTGCAAGAAATAATGTCATACGCTGTTCGCTATAGAAGCACTGTGTTTGTAAGTTCATGTAAGAAGTCACCTAGACCCCTACAGCAGTCATATCATGTGATGCCTCTTGTTGACTTTCAGCCAGGCTTTGGGGATAGTCCCCACCTTCACGTAAGCAACTGGGAAGGGGAATCCACATTTCTCCTCTGCTTTTTGCCTGCAGTGACCTCCAGCAATGTGTAACCATGCCATCTTCCGTGGCCCTGTCCCTCTCAAAGATCAGAGCAACCATCAGCCTTATTCTGTGTTGGTGATCTATAAACCCAGGCCTGCTTGTGGAAACCTCTTGTCTCAGGTAGCTAATCTCAATTATGAACTGCACAGCCTCTTAGAAAAGATCAGCTTATAAGCATTTAACAAGTATAGCTGGAAACCTAATTCCTTCTCCTAAGCTTAAACTTCTGAACTGCAGATAATTACTACTCTTCTCCTCCCTTTGATGGCATCTTCTATCTTAAGCTGTAGAAACAATATGTAGGTGCTTTAAAGTTTAAAATAAATGAAAGTCTCTTGGTATGGCTGTGAGTTAAAAAATGCCATCTTTGTGTTTCCAGACGAAGAACCCAAGGCAGAGGAGCTGGAGGTGTGCATTCCCATTCAGTGGGTGAGTCACCGGCAGAGCCAAGGGCAGCACTCAGTGCCGGGGTCTCACTCCGTGGCAGTTTGGGACACTGATTTGACCCAAAGGCAGCATTTTTTTGTCCAGATTGATTTCTAAGGTATTTTGCAAGTCGTTTATTGTAAATAAGCAGGCTCTACAGTCATATTTCATTGCTGACTGCTGTGTAGCCACCTCAGGCTGGAGCTGCTGGCACGTTTAGTACCCACAGGGCGTCAGGAGTGCTGATACTGCTGTCACTTGGCTCCCAAGATGCTACGTTTTTGCTTTTAAGTGTAAAATGTTAGTTGCCAGCTTTTAACATGCTGAGGAGCTTGAGGGAGTAGCTCATCTTTCTCCTAAAATGTGCTGGCATGGCAGGTTTTTGATGAATCCACTGAGAGAGCGTGTGGTGTGGCTGGTGCTTGCAAAGCCTGGCTGTTGGCAGGGGACATGGCCCTGGTTTGGGACACTGCTATACCGTCCCGGTGCTGCCAGGTAGTTGCATGTTCATTAGCAGCAAACAAGCGTACCAGCCACGTACACAGCCCTTGAGTGGGGTAGACCTGGAGGTGCTCGGTGGGACTGAAGCACGGCTGCCTTGCGCTCCTTGCTGCTGGGCTGGAGCTGTGCTGCCCACAGGGTCTGGTGCCAGTGGGGCATCCGCGAAAGGCGGCTCTGTGTGGAGATGGTGGCGTGGGTTCTGCCCCAGCACCTGTGGCACTTGGTGCTGGAGGGTCCCTGCAGGGATGGTCCCCTGCAAGCTGGGATGGAGGAGGGCCAGGCCTGGGTGGCAGAGGCGGGCTGGCGTGTCCTGCCCAGCAGCGGGCAGCAGATGGCAATGTCGCCCTGCGAGAACCACAGGCAGGCAGGCAGGCAGGTAGATGCTTGCTGTGCTGACAGTTTGGGGACAGGGGACAAAGTGACCCCCTCGGCACTGGGTCCAGCTTCTTTTGCAGAAGCCAGAGACTTTCAAGCAGCGTTGGGTGCCTGGTAGAGATGGTCCTTGGCCCTGGGCTAGCTTGGATCTCTGTGGCCACCCAGGCAGGAAAGGCAAGCGAGGGGGCAGGCAGGGACACTCCTTTCTGCCTGCCACCCTCCTGTCCTGACTGGCAGAGGCTGCTGTGCGGCTGCCCACACCAGGATGGTCACAGTTGGAGTAGCCCCAAGATGTAAAACAGCCCAGGCTGGCTCTTGCAGGTCTTGGCGGGGGTATGATTTTTGACAGCTGGGGAAACTGAGGCAGGGAGGATGTCTGTGAATGGGTACTGGAGATGCTGTGGAGCTGGTTGGCTGTTGGTTTTAGCAGTGGTGTGAAGCTGCTCCCACAGCTGAGCCTAGTAAAGGCTTGGTGTGGCCAGGACACGAGTTTTGGCAGGGTGTTGTGTCTCCTCTCACTGACTCACCCTGGTGCCAGCAGGTATTTTCCAGGTGCAGCAGGCTGGGGGACTCGGATGGCCACATCTCCTCCCTGTGCTCAGGGACTGATCCTGTGCCCCACAGAGCCTCAGCGGGATGGAAAGTGAGGCTGTTCCCTGAAGCTGTTGCTGCCTGGCTTGGCCGTGTCCTGGGGCCATGGGGTTGTCCCAGAGCTGTACCTTGGGGACTTTGCGCGGCTGTGCACTCTATCTGATGGGAGGAGAGCCAGTGCTGAAAGCGTTTTCTTCGCCTTTTCTCTGAGCAGCTCCATCTCATCCTTTATCAGTCAGGGCTGCTGAGCTCAGGGAAATGGGAGCTCTTTGCCTGCACAGGGCAGGCTCCGGAGGAGTGGCCGTGGGTTTTGCTGACTTCCCTGGGCTAAGAACATGCTGGCGACTGCATCAATGGTACAGAAAACAGGGCTGGAATTGGCCCTGGGTGCAGGGGGGAACTCTTGGGTGCTGCCACTGCAAGTAACGTCAGCAGCTGAGGCACCTCATCGCAGGCCTGTGAAGGAGAGGCCAGAAGGTACTAAGAAATAATTTTGAGTTGTCAGAAGGTGTACTGTGGGTCCCCTTGGCCTCCCCATTCCCCAGCTCCAGCACATGTCATCTTGGTTTGGGACCAAGCTGTTCCCCAGGGAGCAGGGCACTGAACTGCACTTACCTAAAAAAAAAAACAAATTAATTTCTTCCAGCTGAGCACTTCTTATTCAGCATTTGTCCTGCCAACACTTTACAGCGGGTGTGAGATAACAAGAAGATAGTGTGTGCAGAGGGGTGGCGGTTGTCCCGGCTGGGTATCTCCTGATTAGGTGCAATACAGAGATACCGGCTGCGCGCTCTCCGCATGCCAGGGCCAGAGGTGGGGTTTGGCAAAAGGGTGTGCAGGTCAGGGAAAGCGGGGTGGGTTCTTGTGGTGCCCCTGTCACCAACCCTCAGCTGTATCCCCATGTCAGTGCTAAAGGATGCGAGTACCTCGGAAGGTGTTGGATTTGGGATGCTGCTTAAAAAAAGTAAAGGCTCTGTGTCAGAAGGCATCAGGTCTGTGTGTCTTGAGCCTGATTTCTTCCTCTTAGGAGAATTTGTGTGGCGCTCTTTTCTTTCTGCATTTACCTAAAGCATTGTTGTCATCCATTAGACAGTGGCCAGGCTGTGCTGCAGAGGCGGCTGCATTTTGGGGGAAGGAGGAGTGTCCTGGGCTGATATATCCATGAAACATCGCAAATGGTGCTCATGAGAGAGAGATCAGACTGAATGAGAGGTCCTGAGAGAGGCACTGAGGTTTTCAAGCTGGGCTCTGTGTTGATGCTGTGTGTTTCATGTGCTACTCTCCTCTGAAATTATGCTTTGGTTTACAGGTTAGACTTGACTTTCACATTAGCCCTTAGCGGAGATGCTTGTCTTAGCTGGAGGAGAACCAAGGAGACCGAGGCACAGTGAGAAGGCGCAGAGGCCTTCTCTGTCCAAGGGGATTGTAAGTGTGGTATGTAACAAGAGGGGACCGATGACAGAGACGGGGTTGCGGCTATCCAGAGAAGGGGACTGGAAGTGCTAGAAAAGCTGTGGCTAGAAATGAGGAGGAGGGAAACCCTGCCTTGGAATCAAGTGCAAAACTGAGCCATTAATGGAGAGGGGAAAGCAATCAAAACTTGAATGCATTGCATGTTAGTGATGACCTTCCCCTGCAGCAGAGATAAGGATTATGCAGTCTTTGCAGTCAGGGGAAGGAGCCGATTTCAGTCCAGGAGCAGATGACAACTATCTAGCTGGACATTGCCTGTGCCACGTAAACCTGCTGGGGGTCAGGTTGCTGCCAGTGTTATAAACCTCTATGATTGTCCGGATGCCAATAGGCCTTATCTCTTAAAGTGAATCTTATTAACTAGGAGTGGACTTTGCTGCCTGTATTGTGGCCTTTAAACCTCACTTGAGGTTCTTCACCCTCAGATGAATTAGAGAGGGTTTGACAGGGTAGAGGAAAAGGAAAACAAAGTGGTTTCTTCCAATGTGAGCTGTGGGTGTCCTGCCAGCTGGTTCATAAGAGCTTGGCAGAGGCACTCGCACACCTAACGCTCAACACAGCCACTAAGTCCACTGGTAGCGGACTTGCAGCTAATGATGCTGGGCTACAGCTAACCATGTATACAGTCCTGCAAGCAGGAACATCGCAAGGGACCTTTCTGTAGCTTTGATTAATTAATGTCTATCTTTGTGCTCCCAGGAAGGCTTCTGTTGCAAGAGCAGTAATTCACTGAGGTCATGGTATGGACAATGTCTCTGCTTCACACCTGATCTGTGCAGTTCCTGGTAAGACTCTTCTGCTCCCCAAGACAGTTTAGACCACCAGCCTGTCCTCCCTGTGTGGCTGCTTCCCTTGCTATTTCAATATAAAGCAGCACATTTCTCCTGGGAAAATGAGCTTCTGGTCAAGGAGAAAGGGAACATTATCTTGTCCCCCATGCTGGCTCCTTGTCCCTTAATGCTCTGCTTGTCTTGCGAGGCAGTCCTCCTCCCCATTGCGTGCTCAAGCCTGGTGGGTGGGACTGCAGAGGGTAGTGAAGATGTCCTGGTTTCTTTAGGTAGCTATAACAGGTGTGAAGTTGGCTGATGGGACCACCTGGGCCTCTTCTACCAGCTCGGCTTCTCAAACAGCTGCTCAAAGAGCTGTGATTAATGGCAATTTATCAGTAGACAGAAAGGTCCTTTCTCTGCCTTTCCTGTGAAGAGCTGGCAGGGAAGCTGGAGGCTTGGCTGCCCATTCAGAGGTTTGCAAAGCCACTGAGCCCTGCATACTACTCCTTCCTGCATCTCCCTCAGTGGCTGGGTCAGCAGAGGGCACTGCATGTCCACGCTCCGTCCGCCTGGGAAGGGAGGGAAAGTCCTCTCCACCCTTCCAGCTCCAGGGCCAGAGGAGGCATGGACCAGCAGGATTGCTCTCTGACCACTAGGCTTTTCCCCCAGCTCCCTGCCAAAGACCCCTGGGCTGTGAGGCCACCTCTCAATGGAAAGATCAGGGCTGATGAAGGAAACCAGGAGGCATGCTGTGAAACAACGGGCAAATTTAGATCAAATGGCAGGAAATCCGCTCTTCAGCAGCACAGAAGAGCCACACAGTGGAAAGCTCTGGTCTGGCAGGAGGTCATCCAAGACAAACACGGAGCTGCCTTCTGGGGTGGACTGGCCAACCGGCAGGATGGGCGAGAGCCAGGGATCTGGGCAGGCGAAGCCATAAAAGCAGTTTGGCTTTGTGCTCTGCTGCGGTCACCGCAGAGGAAGAGCTCCCAGTCAGGGAAGAGCTCCCACCCTGCCCGCAGTGTGCAGGATGGTACCCCCAGCCCATGCAGGGAGCAGAAGGAGCCTTTCTCACCATAGCCTGAGGCAGTCTGATGGATTTTTTTTTTCATCAGCATGGTCCCAGCTGGATCATGTGCTCCTTGGTGAGGTGGTCTGAGGGTCAGTGTTTGGAGATAGGCTTTTGGATCTTCCAATGAGAATATTTGTGTGCAAACAGAGGGAAATCTCTCAAAGGGGACGTTCCCATGATGCCCATGGAAGTAGCTGCTCACTGGCATGAACAGGGAGCCAGATGCTACCTCTTGCATTACTGTAGCACTGCGGGTTTTGATGCACTAGTGACTTCTCAGTGGAGATCTCTTTGGCTAAGGAGGCAACAGTAAAGATCAAAGGCTCATGGGCTTTCTCAGATGGCGTGTCCTACTGGCTTTCATGGGGCAGGAAGGGAGCGTGATTGAATTGTGGAGTGTTTCCTCTCCAGTTTCTTCACTGTTTGAAATCTGGGCTTGTCTGAGAGCTCTTGCCCTTGGATAGTGATTTGGCAGCACTTGGATGACCACCCCATAAGCCCCACTTGTCTGGCTGGTTTCTGCAGGGTAGAAGTTGCAGCTGAAACAGTGGTTAACCCTAGCAGGAGAGCAGGCTTGTGCATCTCCAGGAGCTACCAAGCCAGTGGCTTCACTCAAATGTGAGCTGATATATTTCTAGCCAGTAGAGGTGATTGCTCCCTGGAAACCTGCCCTGGAGTTCATTTGTTCACCGAAACCTTTATCAAGAGAGTGAAGGTGATTTTCCACACTTGTTTATGTCCTCGGGAGATAGCTTGCATGGAGGCTTTCCAAGATGCTGCAGTCTCAGCTTATTGCCCTTTGACAGCAGCAAAGATAAAGATACATGAACCTCATGCTCAAGGAAGCTCCCTCCTCTTGCGCTGCTTCTTGAGATTAGCATGCAGTCTGCTGCTTTGTGGCCTGAGGCTCCGTCCCCAGAAGAAGCAACTGGGGTTTCACACACAGCCCTAACTGCCTGTGAAAGTGCTCTCTGACTTGTTTCTCCTGACCCACTCAGAGCAAGGGCTTGTGTGGAAGTGTCTGAGCTCTGCAAGAGTGTGAGAAAGCATCAGGGTGGAGCTGGCTGATCTGCTCTGACTCTGAGAGCAAGGGGGATGGATCTCATCTTGTTTAGGCTACCTAAGCAAGTAGCTGTTGCTCAGGAGGAGAGACAAGAAAGCTGAGCTAAAAACATGTTCCTTGGCATGATAATGCCTGAAACAGCAGTATCTTTATGTAGGACTGTAAAGGAGCCAGGAAATGCCGCCAGCCTAGCCGAGAATGTCCTGGTGAACCTTCTGGAGCCCACAGCCACAGTCTCAGCTCGCTCCCTCTGGCAAGCACAGACTGCACAGACCTGACATGAGAAGGGCCTATGGCAGGGCCAGTCAGCAAAAATGGAAGGGGAGGTGAGCTCCAATGAGCTCTGGACCATGTCTGTCCTGCAGGCTCTCCACCCTCACCCCCCATGGCTCCTTTTGGGAGATGGAGCTAGGCTCACCAGCTTGCTGTTGGGATGCAGTTTCAGAGGCTTTCTTCAGATGAAGTGTTGGGAAGAGTCCTGGACTGTTGGACTTAGAGTCCTTGGGCTGATGAATGCAGGTGAGACCGCTGCTCACCACAGGCAACCTGCTTTGTGTGAGTGCCTCAGAGACCAGTTGTGCTTTGTCTTGGAAGCAGGTTGGGTTTGGGTTATTTTGTGTCCACTTGATCCCCTTAGGAGTCTGCCTCGGGGACCTTCCCTCGCAGTTGTTAGGAATCTTCTACAAATTTCCAGTGCAAATGTATCTGTGGCCGGCTTTTTCCTGATTTGTTCTTGAGCCAGAGGACAGTGCTGGCACAAACAGCTCTTCTCCCTGCCTGTACTCTTCACTGTTGATTTGAGGATTCTATGATTCTATGAAATAGTCTTTCTTTGGCCTTGGGTTGCAGAGGGATGCATTTCAAAACCAGAAATAAATGGGCTTGAAATATTTCCCATAATTTTGCAAGATCTTGACCCTTTGATAGCAAGATTAGAAGAAAGATAACAAAATCAGCATTCAGGCTGGAACCAGTATTGTTAAACAGACAACACTGTAAAGCCAGTACTTGTTGTTTACAATTGAACTCATGAATTTTTATATATTAATGTATGAGGGATTGAGTAAACAACCATTGTGCCTCTAAGGAATGAGTCCCAGGCTGTCCTGAACTGGAATACTTTGTACTTTCCTGATTGCCTTCCAAGAATTTCAAATTACTTTGTAACAGAAAAACAAGCCTGCTTCACCAGACGTTTGTGAGGTTCTAGGGACGGCCTTAATTCCTCCACGCTATGATGTGGTTGGTTTTGGGGCAGAGCTCTGCAGCTGAGTACTGATGGATGCTGAGCTCATAGGTGCTCGTGGAGAGGTGGGGACTACATGTGAAGAATAAACCACTTGGGTCAGGACAGTCAGCCTGGATGTATTAAAACCCTGCTGTAGTTGCAGTCTGTAACCAGTGTGTAGCCCTGTCAGTCCCTGTTACCGGTTTGATGGGCATGGAGACATCATGGATACTGGCCCAGCAATCCTGTGACTGCCATGGAGAAGGGAGAAGTGAAGGGACTAGTGGGAAGTCACACAGCAGGTCAGGGTGAGAGCCAGCAAGAAAAGGACTCTACTTGCCTAACCCATGAGCCTTTCAGGAACAGCTAGGATGCTCTCAGGCATGGGTCCGTGGGAGTAGCCACTAAGGACCAGGTGGCAAAGGGACATGTGGGCAGGGCACGTCCCTCCCCGTGCCCTGGAGACATCATGCTGTGCTGTCCAGGGAAGTTGCAGACCATGTTCTACATTCATGGGCTCTCCAGGCATACCAGGGTGTTTCTGAGCATGGTGGCACTGACATTGCAGGCTGTGGTGCACTTGCAAATTGTCCCTTATTTCTTGCTGTCCTACACTGAGCAAGCGCTCTTCAGGAGCAGCCAGGCTGTTGCCTAGAGTCCCTCCAACCAAAAATACCACTTGGGAACAGAGACCAGTCTGGCTTAATGTCCCTGCCAGCCCTGGGCTGCCCAAGTGCCATTTGGATAGTTTTTGAGCTGAGACCAAGAACCAGAAATGGAGACCTCTTTCTGCTGGTGCTGGTGGCTGGGGACTGCAGACAGGACGTGTGACAAAGGCAGATGATGGCCTGTCAGCCTTGAGGTGTCCCTCTTGGCCAGCCTGGGTAGTCCTGTCTTGGGCATCATGGCCAACACTTTGGTAAAGCAGGCAGGATGGGTCTCTCACTACCTGGGTTGTTCTTGGGTTTGGTTTCCAAGCCAGCAGCCTGGAGCTGTGGAAAGTCATGAATTTGGGTTATCAAACCATCTGCTGGCTGCGTTTTAAAAAGCAATTAAAGCAAAATTGTTTCCAGCCCTTCTGTTTGCAAGATGTAGTCTAAAGAGAGATAGCCAAGCCAGGATTTGCCTGATCCTGCTGCAGCTCCAAGTGTGAGTTAATTTGATCTAATCCCTATGCTGTGCATGCTGGAAAGTGAGGAGTTCCCTACTTAGGGCTCAGGGAGCATGCAGGTAAACAGGGCTGCCGTGCTGTTAGCACAGAGGTTTGTGTGATGGTGAAACCCAGGCAACTGGCTTGGTACTTTTTTTTAATTGCTTGTAATGAGAAATTATTGAACGAAGTAAAAAAAAAAAAAAAAGCAGGAAGTAAGAATACTTTCGCATAGTAGAGGATGATAGCACGTTGCTGAAGACTGATGCATGGCAGGTCTAGGCGGTCTTGGATGGAGCTGCTAAAGCAATGGTCTGGGGAGCTCTCCCCGGGGTACCCCACAAGGCAAGGGACTGGTGTGGCTGGCTGGGTGGGTCAGGGCATGAGGCCCTTGAGAGCCATCTTCGCTCACACACTGGCTCCCAGTGACATCTTGAAGCATGAAACCTTGCTTTCTTCTTTTTCCCCATGGTGAAAGGCATGCAAAGAGAGCAAAAAAGGGGTAGGGATTAAAAGAGAAAGTAGGGTGACATCGTTCTTCCCTGTCCTCCTTTGGCAGCTGTCACCTTGCTGAATCAAAGAACAACCTTGTGTTGGAGGCAAAAGTCAGGCCATGCCTGATGGTGAGGGACATATAATAGAGGATTTAATATTCTTTCCTGGGTGTTTTTATGTCTGCAGGGTTTTCGTTTCTGTTCTGCTGAGAGGTCATGCCCAGAAGAGATGGGGAAATGAGTCCTCGTAACCTGTAACAGGGCATGTGTTTGGGGACTCCCTTACACCTGGGGACTGCTTGACGGCCAAAGATGACAGGATCAAGATGCCCTTACAGAAGGCAGGGACAGTTTTCCCTGGTGTTTCAGGCTGTGCTTGGTGGAGAGGATGCACACCCATGCCACCAGTATCAAACCTCTTGTGACTGCTCCTGTGATGCTCTGGGTGCGAAGCAGAGAGAAGTGATGTCTGATGTTGCGGAGCTCAGATTTGGGCCGAAGCATCTCCTTTTTCCAGCAGAAGAAGGTAACATGTCCCAGTGCTGAGTCTTGAAGAGGATGGGATGAGATGAGATGGTGGCAGCGGTTCATAGTGTTGGGTTGAATCTGGGGACTGCGGGATGCCGTGGGGACAGCCTGGCTTGGCTGTCACCCACCACCCATGCCCTACCGTGCCAACGACCCCCTGAATGTACCATGGTTGTGTATTGAGGGGCTGCCCAGGTCTCATATCTTATTTGACAGCGGGCAAAAAACCCCAACAGGCTGGCAAAGAGGCAGGAGGGGGGTCTTCCATGATGAGCGGAGGGGGCAGTGCCACTGTGGGGTCCCAGAGGGGCTCTGCTGGGGCAGCTGCTTGGTTTATAAGAAAAAAGCCCTGAGCGCAGCACCAGGCCAAGCCGGCAGCTTATGTAAGAGCTGGCAGCAGGGCCGGCGGTGCGGAAGCCCAGCGGGGTGCAATCGCCTTTGATTTTTCTCCTGTTTGCTCAGCAGCTTTCATGTGGTTGGGGAGCGGGGTGAGGGCGCGAGATTCCTGCACACTGAACTCCTCTGTTTCTCTCGGCAGGATAAACAGGACATAAAACAAAGTCCCGAGCCAGCCCTCGCCTCCGAGGCAGTGTGCTGCCAAACCCTCCACAGGGTGGCCCGTTCCCCATGTGCTCCCTGGGGAGCAGCTGCCCCATCCGGGGTGCCACCGCCTGGGATGTGGGGAGGTCATGGGAGCCCACACAGGGGTGTTTCTGGGCACTGCAGCCATTTTTGTGGCTGGGTGAGGGTTGCCCCATGGCGTTGGTAAGGAACAAGCAGGAAAAAGGGGGCAAAGCTCCCTGGCAGGCTCAGGCAGCAAGACCCATGGTCTTAGAGAGCTGAGGATGGGTGTTCCAGAAGCGACTCCAGGTTGGACACCGTGTGGACACCAGCCAGGCTGGGTGTCCCCTGCAAGGGTTTTACTATGACCTGGCTGCATCTCCGTGGGACGCAGCAGGGCAGGGAGGGGGTCAAACACTGGTCTTCTCTCATCAGTGGGCTCTGTGTACGGGGTTTCACTGATTCCTTAAAGCAGGGCTGCTTCATTTATAACTTCTCCTAAGGAGTAATTTCCAGACCATCTTGCCCCCTGCTAGATGCCTGTCAGTGGCAGAGGGCGATGGGGCTGACCTCAGCCCTTTCCCAAGACAGTATTAGCTAATCCAGCTCCCCAGAGACACAGCTGTGGAGCTGCTCCCCTGCCAGCCCAAGCCTATGCCAGCTCCTCTGCATTTCCACAGAGCCACGATTTCACCACTGCCAGCCTGGCGCAGGACAAGGTGAGAAGGCAGGGAACAACCCAGGGTTTAAAACACTTCCAAGAGTCCCAAGTGGGGTTTGCTCTGGAGCAAAGTGTCCTATAACTACCTTGAAGTCACGTGGTTAGGGAGAAGCATTGGACAAGTGTGAGGCTGCAGCAAAACTCCTAGGAAATGCTACCGCTGCTAAAGCAACATGAAGGGAGGGTGGTTTGGTGCTGTATCCCTGTCCTGGTTGTCTGTCCTGTCGGCCGTGATGGGTGGTGAGGTCCCCTCTCCTCCAAGGTGCTGCTGTTGAGTTAGCCGAGCTGCCCTACCCCAGTGCTCCTTGTGCCACTGCATGCAATGGCATTGCTGACTTCTCCTAAAAGGAAAGGCTTTGGCAGGAAAAAAGCCACCTGGGCAGAAAGCTGTTTTCCTGGCTGGGATCTGGGGGGAGCTCTGAGCTGCACACATAAAAACCCATTGGAAATGCAGAGGGAAGAAAGGCTGGTGCTGCCTGCTGCAACGCTGAGCCTGGAAAGCCAGGCTGGGGTGGCTTTCAAGGTCCCTTTCCTGTGCCCAGATGGGAAGAACAAGCTGGTGGCTGGAGCTGTACGAGGGCTGGGGTCGGTGAAGTCTGGGGAGGGTATGTGGGGCTGCCTCCCCCATGCAGCTGCATCAGTTTTGGGCAGGGGAGGCTTGGGGAGCAGCATGACCAGGTGCCTGTTCCAGCTGCTGGTTTGTGGGTGCTGAGCACCCCTGCAAGCGCCGGTGGCCGGCAGAGCTGAGCTATGCTCCTCTGAAACCATTGGGATCTTGGTGGGGCAGGCTGCAAACCCTGGGACTGCTTATCCAAACCTCTTGGCCTGTGGTTTTGTGGGAGCCAACTTTCTCATAGGATTCCCACTCTGGACTTGATGGGTTGGAAATACTGCAAGAACAGCCTTTTTTCTGTTGTTTTGGTTTCCCTCCGCCCCTCCCCAGATGTTTGTGTCTTTCCACTTCCATCTCTGGCCGAGGCAAGTGGTGCCAAGGCACGAGAGCCAGGCACACCCAGAGGCAGGGGGAAGCAAAGCACCCTCAACCCGCAGGAAAACTGGGACAGAAAGCAAACACGGTGGCTGGGAGCAAGGAGGGTTTGCTTGCCAGCTCCAGCTGAGGGATGGCTCTTCTTGGGGAGGTCCATGGACTCAAGGTGGGTGTCAGGGCTCTGATTCGGTGCCCTGTCCTCTGGTCTTGCACCGATGCTGGGTCTCCACAGGGAAGATGAGGGGGGTCCTCACTCGGGGCGCACACAGGGCTCAACACCCTTCTGCTTCCCAGCCTGCGGGTTGGATCTCCCTGGCCCCGCTTTGACTCACAATATGGGCTCAAGCTGCACGAGTTGAAAAGGCTCGAGCTCTCAAAAAGCAGCATGGGATCAAAGCTTTCTAAACACTCAGGGCATTTGGCCCATGAGGTTTTGTTCCGACTATTTATAGCAGTTGGGGCCAAGCAAGTTCAGAGTTGGAGGCAAACTTTTCCAAAGCTGGGGGCCATTTGGATTAGGGAGGGGGAAAGGGAGTTCAGCCAGGCCCATTTCCAGCAAACGTTGACTCCTTCCCTTAGGTATGTGTTGCTATCCATGACACACTAACAACAGCTCTGCACAGAAGTGCCTGGCTGGGGCTGTAAAGATTGAAACAAAAATGTGAGTTGGCTGGAAAGAAGAACATGGAATAGAGAAAGTTTCCAAACAGCAAAGCTGTAGCAGTTGAAAGTGAAAACTTTCCTTACCAGCTTGTTTTCATCCTCTGGTCAACATCCTTCAATTACAAATACACTCATATTGTTTTCTAGGGGAAAGCTGGCGATGATTTTAGGGCAGAAAGACCAAGAAATGGCTTCCTGAAGCATAGGCCATGCTTAGAAACAGAGACGAGGGGGGCTTTTTATCTTCAAGGTGAATTTTTCTTGTGCTGTCATTAAAGAACATGTCATTTTTCTTTGCTACCTGCTATAGGCAAAGCTAGGCTTAAACTCTGAACAAGCAAACCAGCCGGGACACCCTTGAAATCATGTCACATTTGAAGCTCTAGCCCTTGCAGAGCATGAGGGCAGAAGCTGGGTTTTCCTGCCTGCCAAGTGAATTGTGCTAATGATGGTGTTTAATCGTGAGCAGCATGAGCAGCACACTTTAGATACACACCACAGCTTTTTGCATGCCTACATCCACTCTCTTGATTTAAGGCACTCAGTATAGGTTATAAAAATATCCCTCTAATTACCAGTAGCTTCCCAGCATGCTGCCAAATCTCTGCTGCTCTGTAGGAGCAGTATCTCTGAGCTTCTCCCAAAGGAAAGGCTGCAATTAGGTTGGCAGGTAATTATAATCAGCCTAATGAGGGGACAGCTCAAGGGAAGTGGGTTTGGCAGCCAGGCGGTGTCCAGTCCAGGTGGGCTGTTATGGTGAGTGATGTTATGCTCTTTCCTGGCAAGGGTGATGTGGGTTTTCTGCACGCTGCAGGAGCTGGGTGCTGCGTCAACAAACAGAGCCCAAGTCTACCACGTGTGTGCCTCGGGTTGTTTTCAGAGAGAGAAATGCCATAGCTGGAAAGTTTCCTTTCATCCCTGACATCCCCACCAAAGCCTGTCCTCTGATGGAGAGGATGCCCGTCCTTGCTGTGGATGGTTGGACTGCACGGAAGAAACCAAACTGTTCTCCTTCAAGGAGTGCTGCAAGATCTCCAATGGATTTTGAAGAAAGAAATTATCTGTATGTGGCTGGAGAGTGGGATGAAGGTGGGTCTGGGCTGACTGCACATCAGGTGGCCATGGTTGGTGTCACAAGGGGAAGCATCAGGCAGAAGGGGAGGTTTCCTCTGAAGGTAGCCCGATGTCAGCCTTGGGGCCTGTCTTGTTTCATATTTCTGTGAATGACCCCAAAAAGTAGAAGAGCAATGTTGAGATGCATGAAAGAGGCAGAGCTGAGGGGGTATCAACAGTATAGGAAGTTACAGGTGTTATAAAACCAGAATTGGATGACCTGGAAGACAGGAGCAACAACAACGATATGATGCTCAGCAGTATAAACCACAAGGTCTTTGAGCTTTAGAAGTGGCAATGTATGATAAAATAGGACTTAACATTTTCTGGGGGTAACAGAGAAGGGCTTTGGACTATCCACTGATCTAACACAGTACCTCTGAGCCTGAATGCTGTCATGCAAAACGCACTGTTAGAGGACTCTGATGGCAAGACCTCTCCGTTGACTTAAAATCCTCAGGGCAAGAGCCACCAAGACCTCCACTGGAACAGTGGGTACAAATCTGATCATCCCTTCTCTAGAAAAAGGCAAGAGTAGAGCAAGTGCAAAGCAAATCATCTGTCCTGGTTGTTCCAAGGGTGAAATAGGTGTGAGGGTCAGATGTGGTCGTCCTTCTCCCATCTTGGTTTTTCAACATGGCAAGAGACAGGCTCCTAGCCCAGTTTCCACCCCTACCCAGCAGAAGAAAAATGTTCTTTTCATTTTTGCCTCGTAATAATGATGATGACCACTCACCTCTTGTTTTGTACGTGTCCTTACTATGAAAGACCATTCTTGTACTTGATGCTCATGTTCCCAACTCTTGGAAAGGGTATACTGGCCAACTGGACACTCATTCAGTTCGCTGAGAGGCTGTCTGTTCTGCAATTAACGGATAAAATGCTCACCACTGTGGTTGGAAAGAAGTTTTAATTAAAATCCCTTGACATTGGCCTTGGCCAGACTGTGGAGTGAATGGGAAGAGGGCAGAAGGCCCAGGTCAGTGTCTTGGGTCACCTAGGAAAGTGTCGGCTGAGCTGCAGCTGACCATAAGGAAAGACCTGGTTTCTAATTGCACAGGCTTTTTTTTTTTTTTTATGCTCGAGTGACCCACCCAATGGACAATTGCAAGCTGATAGGAGCGCAGATACTGCCAACCAAAAGTTGGGATAGGTCCACAGGTTGTCT